AAATACACCTATGTTCGGTGAGGATGGGGGCGGCTAGGCGAAGAGCAACACCAATCCGAATGGCCGGTGGGTCGAGACGGGTGCCCAGGGAGGAATTGGGAACAGCTAACAGGAAATCTCCTGAGTGTGGTGCCTTCACTGCCAGGAGACGAGCTTTGTTCTTTCCTGAAGCATTGGAGAGCATTGTGTTGGCGATTTTTTCCATGATCGGTTTGTCCCAGTGGGACTGTTTGTGCTGTTTGGGAGGAGCTGGTCTACTGGAGGAGTCTGTAAGGGTGTCCCACCGAATCGCTGCTTTAGTAAACCTGGGTTCTTGAGCTCCTACCAAGTCTCTCAAGCGTTCGGGCACTATCTTTTTGACTAATGCACTGGAAGCCAAACACGAAGACAGAAAAGCAGGTAAAGCAACATGTGTTGCTTTACGCACCCCTATACCTCCCAGTCGCACTAGGAGGGTTGCCTGATCCCATTGCTCATCCTCTAGTGACAGGTTCAGTGCCTTCTTAAAAGTTGATCTCAGGCGTGCGTCATATTCATCGAGTGTTGGGTTGTCAAAAGAGGGTGCACACCTCAAGAAGTAAGTGAGTCTTGGCATAGTAAGACACCTTGTGAGGAGATACAGAGCATCATGGGCATCAAGATCGCTTATTCTCTCCTCCATTCTCATCAGGTCATTCAATTTGTCCCTGAGGACAGTATCGATGGCCTGGTGACCCAGCGGTGCCCCCAAGAGGGTACTGTTGGACGGAGTTGTAGTTGAGACTTCCTGGAGGATTCTTCGCACAGCATTGATTATTTCCTTGTTCGCTGTGAAAATTTCACACTTGGAGGGATTGAGGACGGTCCCAAAGTCTTCTCCCTGTGTTTTCACCAGTTGTAGGTCCCCCACGAGGGACTCTTCAGTACCTGCCAGAGTGCGTCATGCAGGTACCAGATATTGAGCTCACTGCGTAGGCTGGAAGTTAGTTCTCTTACTGCCAAGCAGAAGAGAAGTGGAGCGAGTGGGTCACCCTGCTGAACACCCTCTGATGATTGAATTTCATGTTCTCCAAACAAAAGAATTGAGGGTTTGCTGTAGCCGGCTGAAATGAAGGGAAAGAGACTGGGGAACCGAACCCGAACAGCTGGCAAGACAGCATCTCTCTTCACCATATTAAAGGCATTTCTAAAATCAAGTTTGACTATGGCCTTGTCTTCTGGTAGGTCCCTGATGTAGGCCCTTGCCGCATGAGCTGCAGCTTCACTGCCTTGAGGGACCCCAAAGCCCAGTTGGTGTGGCTGGAGTAAAGTGGCAGCTTCTAGGCGAATGTTTCTCACTGCTGCTTTGGCAACGAGACGGGGAAGAGTGTTTCCAACTGCAATGGGTCTGATTCCCCCATCCCTCTTCATCCCTCTTCTTCAAAGCACATAGTGAAGCTCCAAAAAAGAAAGGTTTAATTTCTTCTGGGATTCGCCCAGCCAGGCAGTTGTTGACGAAAGTTGTTAACTCGGTGAGAAGAATTGATGCAGATTCACCGAGTACTGGATTTACCATCTCTTTGAGGTGCTGAGGTCGAATTCCAGTGTAACCTCCTGCAGATCCTGCAGGAAATGACACAATCGCCTTATAGACTTCCGATTCTGGCAAAATTAATTGTTCAGTGATGGGGTCTTCCTCAGGGTTGTTGTTGATGGCTATGGTGTCCCTGGTTGGATGCTTGTCTCTTAGTGCTTGGGCTGTGGTCTCATCCTTGGGGGCTACAGTGTCGTCACTATTATAATATATATATATATTTTATATATATATATATATATATTATAAATATATATATATATATATAATATATATGGCGGTACCACCTCTGGAACTACAGTGGGGACCCTCATCCTCAGAAAAAAAAATAAACTTCAGAGAAAACTCGAGGTTCTCCCTGCAGCTGTTTGATTATTTTCTTCTCCTACCATCCCCTATATTCTATGTGGACTTTATTTAAAGACAAAATACATTGAGAAAAATACAATGGGGAATAGAACAATATAAATAACATCTCAGAGCTACATCTCGAATACTTCATCCAGCTCCCCGGCGGTGGACCGTGTACCCAGAATTCTGCAGGCATTTCCCCTCTGGATCGCAACACTGACTCTCTGAAAGAGGAAACTGGCCGCTCTGTGATCCTTAGTTTCTGTAACGAGCTTTTCACTCAGCTCTTTGAGGAACTTTAGAACACACTTGCCCCATGCTCCAAGGGTCTTTGGCCCTACTGGAATGAAGTTATAGCAAAGGGAAAGGCCTTCATATCTGTGGATCTTCTGGGTCTTCTTGAGTTGGCCGCTCCACCCTCTTCAGTTCCAGAGTATGGCAAGTAAGTGTCCGCCAAAGTGGTGGCGCAAGTGTAGTCTCAGGCATTCTGCTTTCCATCCTTCCAGAATAGCATAGTGGCTTCATCAGGACGCTTTTGACTTCCGTCAGACCTCTGTACTTCGGGTTCCCGTTGATTTGGGGAAACGGGCTGTGGCGAGACTTCTTTTTATGATGTCACTGACCTCCTCATGTCTAGCATACTTCCCTTCGGATGTATGACACAAAACAACCACAGGAGTTGAATAATACCTCTAGCCCTTTTTCGTGTTCCAAGCAACACATCAGCAAGAAATCCCAGCAGATTCGTTGCAACGGCCGCTTACAAGCACCATCCCCCCCTTACCTCCCTCCCCCTTCCATTAAAAAGAGAATTAACTCATAAACTTCTGAATCAGCCCAACGAAATTCAATTAGGAGGTGGGAGCGTGGGAAGTATGGATAGCCTTCAATTAAACCGGAAAAAATCGGAAACAGAGAAACGAATTTATTAGTGTTTTTGGTTTTTGGTTATGGATTTTCCGACTCGTAAAGAAGACGAAAATTTATATTGTTATGTTGTGTGGAAAAGATGAACATTGGTTCGTTGCTCATGTTCAATTCCTGCCTTCAACTGAACCATCATTAATAATGACCTTTCGGTCTCAGTTCTTTAAAAAAGAGTTCTCGAAGCAGCTAATATCTAGATCATTTTTTCACTGTAATTTTTTTTATTGCGATTATGTATATTTATACATGAGGAGATAAGTTGTTGCAGAAAGTCACTTTTTGACTCTGTTTATCCCCGCTTTCCTGAGAAGGGTCTTGCTAGCCTATTCTAGTTTTACTTGCCTGCCTATTCTAGTTTTACTTGCTAGCCTATTCTAGTTTTCCTTGCTAGCCTATTATAGTTTTCCTTGCTAGCCTATTTTAGTTTTACTTGCTAGCCTATTCTGCTTTTACTTGCCTGCCTATTCTAGTTTTACTTGCTAGCCTATACTAGTTTTACTTGCTAGCCTATACTAGTTTTACTTGCCTGCCTATTCTAGTTTTACTTGCTAGCCTATACTAGTTTTACTTGCCTGCCTATTCTAGTTTTACTTGCTAGCCTATACTAGTTTTACTTGCCTGCCTATACTAGTTTTACTTGCTAGCCTATTCTAGTTTTACTTGCTAGCCTGTTCTAGTTTTACTTGCTAGCCTATACTAGTTTTACTTGCCTGCCTATACTAGTTTTACTTGCCTGCCTATACTAGTTTTACTTGCTAGCCTATTCTAGTTTTACTTGCTAACCTATACTAGTTTTACTTGCTAGCCTATTCTAGTTTTACTTGCTAGCCTATTCTAGTTTTACTTGCTAGCCTATTCTACTTTTACTTGCTAGCCTATTCTACTTTTACTTGCTAGCCTATTCTAGTTTTCCTTGCTAGCCTATTCTAGTTTTACTTGCTAGCCTATTCTAGTTTTACTTGCTAGCCTATTCTAGTTTTACTTGCTAGCTTATTCTAGTTTTACTTGCTAGCCTATTCTAGTTTTACTTGCTAGCCTATTCTAGTTTTCCTTGCTAGCCTATTCTAGTTTTACTTGCTAGCCTATTCTAGTTTTACTTGCTAGCCTATTCTAGTTTACTTGCTAGCCTATTCTAGTTTTCTTTGCTAACCTATTCTAGTTTACTTGCTAGCCTATTCTAGTTTTCCTTGCTAGCCTATTCTAGTTTACTTGCTAGCCTATTCTAGTTTTCCTTGCTAGCCTATTCTAGTTTACTTGCTAGCCTATTCTAGTTTTCCTTGCTAGCCTATTCTAGTTTACTTGCTAGCCTATTCTAGTTTTCCTTGCTAGCATATTTTAGTTTTACAAGCAGAAAGTTTACTTCTCAACCGTCTTGAAGACATTCAACTTTTCAAGACTAGTATTGTACAGGTGACGTACAGCCCGAGTGACCCTCTTGTAGTCGACAGGATTTAAACCAAATAAACGAGTCAACCAAAGAAACTGAAGTTTCAGCATCAGGGTGATAAGAGGGTGTCGGGAAACGGGTATTTCATCTGAAACCCTGGTCAGTAATCGTAGCTTTTTGTACTCACCTATATGAGCTTGCAGGGGTCGAATCCCAGTTCCTCCGCCGGCCACTACAGGTGAATGAGAGTGAGATGGGGGGTAAACAGAGCAAGTTCTCGTATGAATGAGTTCAGGTCGGTCGTATAGAAATGATGTGTTTATTAACATATCAGTATTTAAGAATACTGAGGTAATATCTGCATCGTCTTAAAGAAGCCGAGTGAGCATTCGACTATTTCTTTGTCTTCCTCTGTACTAGCTGCTATGATGTGGAAAACTAAGCTTCCTTGTGCTAGTATCTCTCCAGTTGTCTTCCTCTTTTCGGAAGAGAGGAAGTAACCTCAGGTCATCACTAATAAACACTGTTTTATATCCTCAGCATGAGCTGGTAGTGGCAGCTGGGGCAGCAGTCATCATAAACACTATGTTGTGTCCTCAGCATTAGCTGATGGTGTAGCAGCTGAGGCAGTAGTCATTATAAACACTATGTTGTGTCCTCAGCATTAGCTGATGGTGTGGCAGCTGAGGCAGTAGTCATCATAAACACTATGTTGTGTCCTCAGCATTAGCTGATGGTGCGGCAGCTGAGGCAGTAGTCATCATAAATACTTCGTGTCCTCAGCATGAGCTGGTGGTGGCAGCTGAGGCAGCAGGTCGCACAGTACACTCCATCGTACAAGTAACGGTCGCTGATGTCAACGACAATCCTCCACACTTCCTGGAGAGCGACATCCAGGTGACGGTCGTCGAGGAAGATGACAGACATCTTCCTGCCACCATCTTCAAGGTCAGTCTTCTCCGCCATCTTGAAGGTCAGTTAATCTGTATTGTATTGCCTCGAAAATATTAAATTCATGCTGGTAAGATGTTACTGATAAGGTGTTACTAGCCAGGTATTACTTGTTCCGTTCCGTTTTTTTATTTTCCGTTCACATTGTTTGTCTTAATGACTGGACAAGTATTGTGGAATATGGCGGTGTGTATTTCACCTCAGCAAGGGTCACTGTCTCTGATGTTAGTCACCAGATGAAGTGACCGAGACAGTGAGAGGTCACCAGGGCAGTGAACGACACAGTGAGAGGTCACTTGGACAGTGAACGAGACAGTGAGAGGTCACTAGGGCAGTGAACGAGACAGTGAGAGGTTACCAGGGCAGTGAACGAGACAGTGAGAGGTCACTTGGACAGTGAACGAGACAGTGAGAGGTTACCAGGGTAGTGAACGAAACAGTGAGAGGTCACTTGGACAGTGAACGAGACAGTGAGAGGTTACCAGGGCAGTGACTGAGACAGTGAGAGGTTACCAGGGTAGTGACCGAGACAGTGAGAGGTCACTAGAGCAGTGACCGAGACAGTGAGAGGTCACCAGGGCAGTGACCGAGACAGTGAGAGGTCACCAGGGCAGTGACCGAGACAGTGAGAGGTCACTTGGACAGTGAACGAGACAGTGAGAGGTCACCAGGGCAGTGACCGAGACAGTGAGAGGTCACTTGGACAGTGAACGAGACAGTGAGAGGTTACCAGGGCAGTGACTGAGACAGTGAGAGGTTACCAGGGTAGTGACCGAGACAGTGAGAGGTCACTAGAGCAGTGACCGAGACAGTGAGAGGTCACCAGGGCAGTGACCGAGACAGTGAGAGGTCACCAGGGCAGTGACCGAGACAGTGAGAGGTCACCAGGGCAGTGACCGAGACAGTGAGAGGTCACCAGGCAGTGACCGAGACAGTGAGAGGTCACTAGAGCAGTGACCGAGACAGTGAGAGTCACTAGAGCAGTGAACGAGACAGTGAGAGGTCACTAGAGCAGTGACCGAGACAGTGAGAGGTCACCAGGGCAGTGACCGAGACAGTGAGAGGTCACTAGAGCAGTGACCGAGACAGTGAGAGGTCACTAGAGCAGTGACCGAGACAGTGAGAGGTCACTAGAGCAGTGACCGAGACAGTGAGAGGTCACTAGGCAGTGACCGAGACAGTGAGAGGTCACCAGGGCAGTGACCGAGACAGTGAGAGGTCACCAGGGCAGTGAACGGCACAGTGAGAGGTCACCAGGGCAGTGATACAAGTGAAACTCATCTGAGCTCTGTGTACATTATATGCTGATATATTTCTATAAGCGTATATACGATTATTATATTATAATTATCATAATCATGGGGAGCGCTAAACCCGTAGGATTATACAGTACATGTGGGGGGGGGAGCTGGAAGGTATTCAGGTTCAATTCAGGGAACTGGAGCACAGATCCAATTCCCTAGATCAAGAACCCCTCACCAGCATCAAGGAACCTCCCTGAGGTGATTTTAGGGATTAAAGGAGTCTTGTCTGAAGGTGAGAAGATTACGTGAAACCTTAACTACCCTCGTGTAGTCACAGGCTTTAATCCCCCTTAACCAATCTGGTCCGATGAGGCACTGACCTGACCTCTATTAATGGCTTTTATATTTAATCTGAAATACACGAAATTTTCTCTAGTTTCGTAGCGCACGATTCTATTAAGTGAACACCTTCGCTTATACCAGACACGAAATGCCTTATATTAACCAGGTATCATCTGTCGAATGGTTGGATAGACCTACGACTCGGCTATATACCGACAGATCCTACCGTTATACACTACGTAAACAAATCCCGTTTTCTTTCGTAATCAGTATGATATCGTATGTATATCGTCTTGATATCTTGCGAGTCACCGAACACGTTACGATAGCCTTTATCTTTGCCTTTGCTGCTGCCGGTGTCGCCGCCGGTGCCGCCGCCGGTGCCGCCGCCGGTGCCGCCGCCAGTGCCGCCGCCGGTGCCGCCGCCGGTGCCGCCGCTGTGCTGCCGGTGCCGCCAACTCTCAACTCTCGTTGTCTACGTTACGAAATTAATGCATCCATCATGTCTACGTCGCTGTCAGACCCGTGAATGAACTAGCAAACATTATATGTTGATAATTTTGCCTCACCCTCGTTCCGTCGAGATTAATATTTAATCTGATCCTACTTAATATAATACACACACTTCATTAACATAGAGAAATACATAATAACCCTGTGAAATTTAATGTCACTCTACGATGTATATTTTGGCCACTAAAATAGGCATGTTTATATACACACTATGCACATTTTAAAAAGGAAATATTTTCCACGGCTACTGTTGCAACTAAAAATATATTACTGAATAGTGTTATATTGAGACTACGCTTTTAAAAAAATATTTTTTATATTCATTATTTGAGAGAAGCCTCGTCAGAGAGTTTCTAGTTAATGGAGATTTAACAGTTGTCCGAAGTGAGTGGAATACCAGAGGCAAATAAACACTAGCTGAAGTATAACGCATAAAATAATTCAGTGGGGAAGTGATAAATGGTGTAGAAGGTGGGATGAAAGAGTGTGTTAATGGAGTGGAAATCAAAACACAGAGATGAAAGCATGGGCCTCGGGAGAGTGCCAGGATGGTGTTGATGCTGGTGAGGTCTGGAAACACTGCCAGGTTTGTTCTTCGTGCTGTCATGGTTTTGGACTGTGATGTGTAAATGTGGGATGGTGATGTGTCATCTAGGATGTGATTTGTATTTGAAGCTGGTAGTGTCTGGTTTAGGCTAGTGATTTGTGAGTTTAAACTGGCGATACTTGATTTAGGGTACTGATACGTGGCTTCACGTTAGTGATACGTGAGTTTGGTTACGTGAATTTCGTCTGGCAATATGCAATCTAGTACAACAACATGTGGGATAAATCTCCTAATATGTGGACAAGATGCTGTAATAAATCTTAACCTCCCACCTAGTACCCAGTTTCTTTGGGTAACACACTACGTCCTCACAACACTGACTTTCTAACTCCCTGCGACCATCAGCTTTTAAACGATCTAACGAACACACAATACTAAATATTAGCTGCAAACTTTATCTTAAATTTGCATTTAACCTCAGATAATCAAATAGTGTAAACAGGAATGCAAACTCTGGTAACGGGGGACACGTTGCCACAGGTGCGTTAGCAGCTGCAACTGTCAGCCCAATGGTCCGAACTTTATGGTAATTATGTATATAATAGCGTAAACCAGAGATACTGAGTTTAATTTCGTTGGAAGTAGTACGTTCGGTATATACTGCGGGAGCGTGTACTGAATGATACAACTGAGAGCTGTATACCGGCTGTGTTACCAGAGCAACCAACCAGCAGAAATAAACCATATTGTTTATGCACTTCATTGGGGACAGTACCAGCAGTGCTGGCAGTACCAGCAGTGCTGGCAGTACCAGCAGTGCTGGCAGTAATAGCAGTGCTGGCAGTACCAGCAGTGCTGGCAGTACCAGCAGTGCTGGCAGTAATAACAGTGCTGGTAGTAATAGCAGTGCTGGCAGTACCAGCAGTGCTGGCAGTACCAGCAGTGAATATTAAAATGGTATAAAATACCGACAGGTTGTTAGGTAAGACACATAAGCAACAGTTAGGTATCTTTATTTCGAAACGTGTCGCCTACACAGTAGGCTTCTTCAGCCGAGTACAGAAAAGTTGATAGAGGCAGAAGAGACGTGAAGACGATGTAATCAGTCCATCACCCTTGAAGTTTAGAGGTGGTCAGTCCCTCAGTCTGGAGAAGGGTATTGTTCCATAGTCTGAAACAATATGGAGTTGAAGCGACAGGATGGAGCCTTATATACCACCAGAAGGTGAGAATGTAGAGGTAAGAATGTAGTCGTTGGGAGGTCTCGTCCCTCTCAAATCCAGCCATTCTCACTAGTAGAAGTTGTCCAAGTTGTTTTCTGTTCTGTACCAGCAGTGTTGACAGTACCAGCAGTCTTGACAGTACCAGCAGTCTTGACAGTACCAGCAGTGTTGACAGTACCAGCAGTCTTGACAGTACCAGCAGTCTTGACAGTACCAGCAGTCTTGACAGTACCAGCAGTCTTGACAGTACCAGCAGTGTTGACAGTACCAGCAGTCTTGACAGTACCAGCAGTGTTGACAGTACCAGCAGTGTTGACAGTACCAGCAGTGTTGACAGTACCAGCAGTCTTGACAGTACCAGCAGTCTTGACAGTACCAGCAGTCTTGACAGTACCAGCAGTCTTGACAGTACCAGCAGTCTTGACAGTACCAGCAGTCTTGACAGTACCAGCAGTGCTGGCAGTGCCAGCAGTGTTGACAGTACCAGCAGTGTTGACAATAGCAAAAGTGATGGCACTACGAGCAGTGCTGGCAGTACCAGCACTGTTGACAGTACCAGCATTGCTGGCAGTACCTGCAGTGTTGACAGTACCAGTAGTGTTGACAGTACCAGCAGTGTTGACAGTACCAGGAGTGTTGACTACCAGAAGTGCTGGCAATACCAGCAGTGCTGGCAGTACCAGCAGTGCTGGCAACACCAGCAGTGTTAAATTAGACACATGTGCAACTCTTGGGTATCTTTATTGAGGAAACGTTTCGCCACACAGTGGCTTCATCAGTCCATACAAAGGATAAACTTGAAGAACAGGAGGAGAATGAGGTAATCAGTCCCTCAACCTTGAGTCGATGTGGTCAGTCCATCAATCTTGAATAGAATACGGCATATGAGCGGAGAAGCAGCTTATAAACCGTATGGCAGGAGAGGTGCAGCAGTAGTAGGTGGTGTCACGCTTATCCTTTGTATGGACTGATGAAGCCACTGTGTGGCGAAACGTTTCCTCAATAAAGATACCCAAGAGTTGCACATGTGTCTAATTTAACAACGTGTCGGTTCTTTGAACAATTCATCTACAATCCTGTCAGACACTGCAACTTCTTGGGATCTTAATACTTGGGAATTCTTCGCTT